CATTACACTTCACAAATTTACACACACTGTACATACATTACACAATACATTGTTGCTTGTGGCTATGATCTAGCAAATTTAAAGTTCTAAGGACTTGTGTGTATGAGTTTACGTCAAGACAGTCACCTGATGTGTCTGTGATGCATAACGACCAATAAAAACCCCACTTCCAAGACGACAAACAAACACTTGAAGCATGGAGGTCGGCCTGAGGTTAGCAGTGTGTTTATTTGAACTGCTACCAGCTGTTGTGTTGGGTGTGTCTCTGAATGATGTACAACCAACAACCCAGCCAACGCGTCCTCTAACCGGTGCCAGTGTGGAGACGGAGTCTTCATTGCTGAAATGCTCCTTGCAGGGCTCCCCTCGTCTGCCTGCGTTCTCCACTGAGGGAGACTTTGTGATTGGAGGAGCTTTTGTGGTTCACTACCAAACGAACGCAGTGGTTAACAACTACACCACCAAGCCTGGGGTGGCGACATGCACAGGGAGGTTAGCAAGCAAAATGAGACATTGTTGTAACTCCTTCTGTGTTATTTTAACTTGTTTTAAATTTGAAAAAGGAAAAATGTCCTTTAAAAAAGCCTGTCGTCTTAGCTGCATGACATTAACATTCATGTAAGAAGGGATTGATATTTAGTGTGAAGTTGCTTTTAAATTTTGGGGGAAAAAAGTTAAAATGATTTCACCATGAATGTGATAAATATTACAAAAGTTTAGCTTTAAATCTGCATGAGTGGTATTGTATTTTCTCATTTTATGTGTCAAAGCTCCGTTAATCAAAGTTTCAATCTGTTTCTTTCAACATCAGCATCTGCCTCAGCATTAGATTGTGTTACTTGGATTATTATGTTTGTTGTGTTTTTTGTTGTTGTTGTTGGTATTTTAATATGAAATTCACTAAATGCTCACCTGATTTATTTGTGCAGCTTCAGTGCCCGGGATCTCCGCTTTGCTCGCACAATGATCTTTGCAATCGAGGAGATAAACAACAGCTCTGAGCTGCTGCCGGGTGTCAGACTGGGTTATCAGATCTATGATACATGCTCCTCTGTGCCTGTTGCCACACATGTTGCATTTCAACTATCAAATGGTCAGGATCCCGTGTTTTACGAAGACGGTAACTGTTCTCAGTCTGGAGTGGTGGTGGCTGCTGTCGGAGACTCTGGATCCACCCCGTCCATCAGCATCTCACGCATTTTAGGGCCTTTCAACATCCCTCTGGTAAAAGGTCTAAATCCACAGCAACTGATATACTAAAATGTGCCTGCATTGTGCTGAACTACATTTTGTTTGTGTTGCTGTTGCTTTAGGTGAGCCACTTTGCCACCTGTGCCTGCCTGTCAGATAAAAAGCAGTTCCCGACTTTCTTCAGAACAATCCCCAGTGACCATTACCAAGCTGATGCGCTGGCAAAGCTGGTGAAAAACTTTGGTTGGACCTGGATAGGAGCCGTCCACTCGAACTCAGAATATGGTAACAACGGCATGGCCTCTTTTCTTGGGACGGCACTCAGAGAGGGGATCTGTGTGGAGTACATCGAATCCTTCTATCGGACCGATCCGAGGAACAAAATCAGGACAGTAGCTGATGCTATTCGCAGGTTTCCATATCTATAGTTTTTCTTAGGTGCCCTTAAAAATAGTACAAGAAATTACATGTGATGAGTCTACTTTGTGTGATATATGTAGAAAGTGGCTACAGCAAAACACTTGAATAGTATTACAGCTGTGTGTCTTAACAAGGGGTTATACAAATGCACAGTTATAAAACACTGTACAGTTTACGTTACTTTGAGTGAACACATTTTTATCTCTCTCCAGGTCAACAGCAACAGTTGTTGTTGCTTTTGTAGCTGCTGGTGACATGAAGTTTCTGCTGGAGGAGCTGGCTCTGGATCCTCCTCCACCTCGGCAATGGATCGGAAGTGAAGGCTGGACAACTGATCCAAACTTGATGACCTTCAGTTTCTGTGCAGGAGCCATCGGAGTTGCCATCCAGCAATCTGTGATTCCAGGTCTGAGAGACTTTCTGCTGGATCTCTCTCCCTCTGAAGTGGCTGCCTCTCCGCTGCTGGCTGAGTTCTGGCAGGATGCGTTCAGCTGCAGCTTCACCAAAAGTGAGAAAATTTACTCTTTTTTTTTTTCTCTCTTCCATCTTTCTTTGTTAGCAAAAAAGAAAAATACTGATTCGATAAAAGTAATAATTAGAAGTTACCACTATAATTAATTTGTTAGGACCGAAATGTTATGTTTAGTATTCTTAATGTCACCATTAATGAGTCACAGTAACATTATGGCAATAAATGTGTATAGTGTTTATAGCAGAAACATGTTTTGGGAATTTGTGACTAAAGTGAGTAACATTTTTTTTTTTTACTACTTTTTGTTCAAACTAACGATGGGCTCTTCTGCCTTAGTCAAAAAAAAAAGAAAAACGAAAAACTTTAGATTTGATTCAGATTTTTACTCTAAAGATTTTTAAAGATTGAAGAGTAAAATAAAGTCTGTATACAAGCAGCAACCAGAAGCTGTTCATGTTTTACTCTGAAAGATGCTTTTAATGTCAGTTATATTGATGGATTATGGGTTGTTATTGACACATAACAATATGTTTTATATTAACTGTAGCATTATGCATACATATCTCCAAATGACCATCATAAATCTAGAAATATGTTGTATGTTTTCTTATTTGTTTGAATGTTTCTCTGTTAAGGTTGTCTGTGCGTTAGACTGTATTGCAGCAGGGATGTTTCTCTTTGACAGGTGTCAATAAGAAAAAATGTGATGGAACAGAAGATATTAAAACCCTTAAAAGCCCGTACACTGAAACATCTCAGCTAAGAGTTTCTAACATGGTTTATAAGGCAGTATATGCAATAGCTCATGCTATTCACAACGCAGTGTGTCAGGAAACAAGTGGAACCACTCAGTGTGACAAACACATGCGTTTGGAGCCCAAACGGGTCAGTTGAAATAAAAAGTAGATATGTAGGTTTATTTTTCTAATTGTAAAGTTTTGGTATACTAAAGAAAATCATTTCACTGGCCGTTGATTTCTATGTTCATCGTTTCCTTCTCGCTTTTCAGGTTTTTACTGAACTAAAGAAAGTTAACTTTTCCCAGAACGGATATCATGTTTCATTTGATGCTAACGGGGATCCTGTGGCTTTTTACGAGCTGGTGAACTGGCAGCAAAGTGAGAAAGGTGTTATGGAGCCAGTAACAGTGGGGTATTATGATGCTTCACTGCCTATAGGACAGGAGTTTCGTATCAACAGGAACTTAAGCTGGATGGATGGAAAAAAGCAAGTAATAAATCTAATGCCAGCAGTTTATGCAGAGTGGGTAAAAGTCAGTTACAAGGGTTAAGCTATTTTTTCCCCTTTGACATGATAACAGGTTCCAGTGTCCGTTTGCTCAGAGAGTTGTCCTCCAGGAACTCGTAAAGTGTTGCAGAAAGGAAAACCAATCTGCTGTTATGACTGTATACCATGTCCTGAAGGAGAGATCAGTAATATGACAGGTATGATTACTTTCTGTATTTTTCTGGACATTTCCAAATGACAGAGAATTAACAGATGTTTCTGGATTGTTTTTAGATTCCCCTGATTGCTTCCCTTGTCCCAGAGAGTTCTGGCCAAATACAGAGAGAGATGCATGCTTCCCCAAACCTGTGGAGTTTCTGTCCTATGAGGAAATCTTGTCAATCATCCTGGCTGTAGTTTCCATCAGTGGAGCCTGTCTGGCCATCATTACAGCAGTGATTTTCTTCTACTACAGGGCCACACCAATTGTCAGAGCCAACAACTCTGAGCTGAGCTTCCTGCTGCTCTTCTCTCTGACTCTGTGTTTCTTATGTTCACTAACTTTCATTGGAGCCCCCTCTGAGTGGTCCTGCATGCTGCGGCACACAGCGTTTGGCATCACATTTGTTCTCTGTATCTCCTGTGTTCTTGGGAAAACTATAGTGGTTCTAATGGCCTTTAAAGCTACACTTCCTGGTAGTAATGCTATGAAATGGTTTGGTCCTCCACAACAAAGGATGACTGTAGTGAGTCTGACTTTAATTCAGATTATTATATGTATCATATGGTTGGTTGTGAGTCCTCCCTTCCCAGTGAAAAATCTGAGCACCTACAAGGAGAAGATCATCCTGGAATGTGCGTTAGGCTCTGCTGTTGGTTTCTGGGCTGTGCTCGGCTACATCGGCCTGCTGGCTGTGTTTTGCTTTGTGTTAGCTGTTCTAGCTCGGAAACTACCTGATAATTTCAACGAAGCCAAGATGATAACCTTCAGCATGTTGATATTCTGTGCCGTCTGGATCACCTTCATCCCAGCTTATGTCAGCTCTCCTGGAAAATTTACTGTGGCTGTGGAGATATTTGCCATTCTGGCCTCCAGTTTTGGACTGATACTGTGTATATTTGCTCCAAAGTGTTTCATCATTTTGTTTCAACCAGACAAAAACACCAAGAAATTTTTAATGAACAAAAACTAAGTTAAACCCCAAAGAAGCCTGGAAGTAATGTGACAAAAATACAGGTGGTATTAATCCGGTTGTTGCATATCTTAAACTATTTACACCTATTTGAAAAGCTTAGCTGTCATGCATTACGTAAACAGTTTGGAGGAGTAGTTTATATGCACACATGTTCCATCATGGGAGTGTAATGTATGTCAGTCTGTTGGTTTCTTGTTTCAGAAATAAATCATGTACTAAACAAATGTCTCTGATTATTAATGTAAGTACACTGATATACTGGATACATCATAAAACACAGTGCAGCAATCCTCAATTTCAAGTTTCAAGTGGCTTACCAATACTTTCATATGACTTCAACTGATTCACATGTATTTTTCGTTACAATCAACGACCCCAGCTGGCCCAACGTAGAACACAGCCTTGAGCAAAATCAAAATTTGATTTTGATCCTCGTCTTAATAAAGGAGCGCTGTAATGTTATGTACTTTCCTTGAACATGGTGCCATATTACAGCACAAACAAGCAATTAAGCTACTTTCTATTGTTCTGAAAATGTTTTATGTCAAACATTACTTGAAGAAAATTTAACTTTACAATTCCATGCAAAGTCAATTTGGCCTCCATCTTTAGTTCTCTTTCCACTTTGAGGATGATTTCAGTAGTGATTTCGCTCAGGATATTCAAAGTTTAGAATACTGATCACACAGTTCCTATACATGAGTACCATACATTTAAGCCAACTTCTTCAATTTTGACACAGTGTTAGACAGCCCAGTTGCACAGAGGCTTACATTAGGATAGGTCACTTTAAGACATAATCATAGATCCCTAGGTGACCCCATGTTCCTTTTAATGACCTGATATAAAACACATGTTAATGAGAACACAAACACCCAGAGAACAAATGGTTGAAGAATGGAGGTCGGTCTGAGATTAGCGATGAGTTTGTTTGAGCTGATCACAGTTGTTGTGCTGGGTGGGTCTCTCAGCGGTGTAAAAGAAAGAAATCAGCGTATCGATAACCTGACTGGCCCTGATTTCAGTGCTGAGGCGTCATTGGTGAAATGTTCGCTGCAGGGTACGCCTCGTCAACCTGCGTTCTCCGTGGACGGGGACTTTGTTATCGGAGGTGCTTTCTTCATCCACTACCAAGTGCAGACAGTGATCAATAACTACACCACCAAGCCTGAGCTTCCAATATGCAAAGGGAGGTTAGTAAAGAGGAAAGACACAAGTGTGTTAGATGAAGATGTGCATGAATCTTTTTAAGAATGTGATTTTGCATGCTAAAAACGATGCAAAAATGCTTAGCAGTAGATTTGAGTAAAATGAATTGTTCTAATAATTTAATGTAGTTTCAGTTAACATTTCTCTATGAATTGTGAAATTATTTCTTGTTTTGCAACTTTGTTCCAAACCTTTGACTGTTTTTTTTTCTTTTTTTTTTTTCTAATATTAGGAACTTTTTTTTTTATCCGGCGTTAACATCAGAACTCTCCTCATTTCATTCTGTGCAGCTTCAACGCCCGGGGTCTGCGCTTCTCTCGCACAATGGTCTTTGCAATTGAGGAAATAAACAACAGCACAGAGCTGCTGCCGGGCATTAGACTGGGTTATCAGATATTTGACACTTGCGCCTCTGTGCCTGATGCCGTGCATGTGGCATTTCAGCTTTCAAACGGCCAGGATCCCGTGTTTTACCAGGGAAACAACTGTTCAAAGTCTGGAGAGGTGATGGCTGCTGTTGGAGACTCTGGATCCACTCCCTCCATCAGCATCGTACGAATTATTGGGTCCTTTAAAATCCCTCTGGTAAGTTGTGTATATTAATTAAAAACTAATTTATGTACATGAAAATGGTGAAGTCATTATTGTTATTTTAAAAATGATATTCCTTTTGTAGGTGAGCCACTTTGCCACCTGTGCCTGCCTTTCAGACAAACAGCAGTTCCCGACTTTTTTCAGAACGATTCCCAGTGACCATTACCAAGCTGCTGGAATGGCCAAACTGGTGAAACACTTTGGCTGGACTTGGATCGGAGCCGTCCATGCAGACTCAGATTATGGAAACAATGGCATGGCTTCTTTCCTTGGCACAGCACTCAAAGAGGGGATCTGTGTGGAGTACATTGAATCTTTCTATCGAACTGACCCAAAGAACAAGATAAAAAAAGTAGCTGACGCCATCCGCAGGTTTTAGAATGTTTTATTTTGCCACTGTGCCTTATGGTTATGTGAACCTTGATTAATTTTTTTTTGTATACTTTTTTCGTTTATTTTTTTTATTTATTTATTTATTTTTTTCAGATCTACAGCCAAAGTAGTTTTGGCATTTGCAGGTGGGGGTGACATGAAAGTCCTCTTAGAGGAGCTGAGCAGAGAACCTACCCCACATCGGCAGTGGATCGGAAGTGAAGGCTGGACAACCGACCCAAACTTGATGAGATTCAGTTTCTGTGCAGGAGCCATCGGAGTTGCCATCCAGCAATCTGTCATCCCAGGTCTGAGGGACTTCCTGCTGGATCTCTCTCCCTCTGAAGTGGCAGCTTCATCAGTGCTGACTGAGTTCTGGGAGGATGCATTCAACTGCAGCCTGACAGAAAGTATGAAATTCTTGTCTGTGTGTTTTTTAGTTTAATACTTAATTTACAGAAAATATGTTGACTCTGAATGGGAAATTACAACATTTTCTTAAACCATCAGCTGTTATTATTGTCAATATTTTCTATTTACTCAGTTTCACCCAAGAATTTGTTAGTAACATTAATTTGGACTGTTTCTAGCAGGTCAAATATTTTGAACTTTACAAAGGTAACTAATCTTTTAGGGTATTTTTTTTCCAAAGTTCAGTTTCAAATACATCAACAGAACAACAAAGGGCCAAAGACAAAGTAGATAATGCTTCCAATAACTCCTCAGTTATAGGTTAAAAGTAACACATTTTAACTGATGTTTAGTTTATAAAACTACTGATAACAAGCCCTAGAGTAATATGTCTATCAATTGTGTATTTCCATGTTTATTAGACTTTTTTCTTCTCCTTAGCTGCTGATCCACATAAGGGAAGGTGTGACGGAACTGAAGATATTAAAACCCTTAAGAGCCCATACACTGACACGTCTCAGTTAAGGATTTCTAACATGGTTTATAAGGCTGTTTATGCTGTAGCTCATGCTATTCACAATGCAGCGTGTCAGGAAACTAACGGAACCACTCAGTGTGACAAACACATGCGTCTAGAGCCTGAACAGGTTAGTTTAAGTAAAAAGTAAATCAGTTTTTAACTGGTTTTCTTGTATTGATTTTTTTTCTCTTCCTGTGTCTTTCTGATTTTGCAGGTTTTTATTGAACTAAAGAAAGTAAACTTTTCCCAAAATGGCTACCATGTTTCATTTGATCCCAACGGAGATTCTGTGGCTTTTTATGAGCTGGTAAACTGGCAGAAAAGTGAGAGTGGAGTTATTGAACTGGTAACAGTGGGATATTATGATGCTTCACTGCCAAAAGGCCAGGAGTTTCGTATCAACAGGAATATTACCTGGATGGATGGTTACAAACAAGTAATGAATCTATTGTCAAAAATGTATGCAGTGTTCATACACTGAAGATGCTTGTAAAATATGGTTAAATTATTGTTCTTTTTCTTTGACTAAATTACAGGTACCAGTGTCTGTTTGCTCTGAGAGTTGTCCTCCAGGGACTCGTAAAGTGTTGCAGAAAGGCAGGCCCATCTGTTGCTATGTTTGCATACCATGTCCTGAAGGGGAGATTAGCAACATGTCTGGTAAAATCATTACATTTTCTTTATTTACATTTTCAAATAATTTAGTGTTGACACATGTGTCTACACCATTTCTTTAGATTCCCCTGATTGCTTCCCTTGTCCCAGAGAGTTCTGGCCAAATGCAAAAAGAGATGCTTGCATCGCCAAACCTGTGGAGTTTCTTTCCTATAAAGAAGTCCTGTCAATCATCCTGGCTGTAGTTTCCATCAGTGGAGCCTGTCTGGCCATCATTACAGCAGTGATTTTCTTCTTTCACAGGGCAACACCAATTGTCAGAGCAAACAACTCTGAGCTGAGCT